GCTCTCATTCCCTACTTCCCCCATTATGCACTCGAATGTGCAAAAAAAAACCCATGTCTAGTCTCTTAATCCCTGGCAATGATGATAAACCAAGAAATGTGGAAATAATTAATAAAATAGTTTGTACTGGGATAGCAGATAAGGACACAGATCCTTGGCTTTATGACACTGTCAAAAGTAACATGGTCCATGCTGCAATACCAGACAAGGACACAGATCCTAGGCTTTATGACACTGTCAAAAGCAACATGGTCCATGCTGCAATACCAGACAAGGACACAGATCCTTGGCTTTATGACATTGTCAAAAGTAACATGGTCCATGCTGCAATACCAGATAAGGACACAGATCCTTGGCTTTATGACATTGTCAAAAGCAACATGGTCCATGCTGCAATACCAGATAAGGACACAGATCCTTGGCTTTATGACATTGTCAAAAGTAACATGGTCCATGCTGCAATACCAGACAAGGACACAGATCCTAGGCTTTATGACATTATCAAAAGCAACATGGTCCATGCTGCAATACCAGATAAGGACACAGATCCTTGGCTTTATGACATTGTCAAAAGCAACATGGTCCATGCTGCAATACCAGATAAGGACACAGATCCTTGGCTTTATGACATTGTCAAAAGTAACATGGTCCATGCTGCAATACCAGATAAGGACACAGATCCTTGGCTTTATGACATTGTCAAAAGTAACATGATCCATGCTGCAATACCAGACAAGGACACAGATCCTAGGCTTTATGACATTATCAAAAGTAACATGGTCCATGTGGGCAAAAGAGCCCTCAAAGTCCATGCATCTGGAATTTTTATTATACATTATGCAATCTTGCCCCAGCTAGTTAAACAATGTTTGACAAAGAATTTACGTATTAGGCTGATTATCTTGAGTGTTCAATTTTTATTTAGTGCCAACTTTGGAGAGGTATTTAATGTATGTTCTGTGGCTGCATTCATGTTTAGTTTTTGTACAATTGTATTGTTACTTGTATTTTTTTTTAAACTTGGGTCTTTAAATGGACTAAATTTACAAAATTTCACTGACAAAACAGTTTTTGTTACAGAAATTTTACACTTCAATTTTGAATCATTATTTGAACGAATTTAGTGACCCTCATTTTAAATGATATAAGTTCTAAGTTACCGCACAACCCAATCTGGCAAAATTCAGTTTTTCGTTAACAGGCATCTGGCTGGTTTCACCCAATCTATTAGTTTCTGCATCCATTGATCAAAGAGTGAATGTCTGGTCTTTACTTCATATAGAGAAGCAGACAATAGAGGTATGACTATGACTAAATATTGTTTATTTTATTATTAGCCTAACGTCTAGTATTAAATTATGACCAGTTTAACATTTTAAAATTGTATTTCTATATTATGCTTAGAAGATTTTTAAAATCCAATTAACCAATGCTGGAAGATTCAATGCAAACTTCAACTATATTAAAACTTCATCCTAAATTCAATGCAAACTTCAACTATATTAAAACTTCATCCTAAATTCAATGCAAACTTCAACTATATTAAAACTTCATCCTAAATTCAATGCAAACTTCAACTATATTAAAACTTCATCCTAAATTCAATGCAAACATCCTAAATTCAATGCAAACTTCAACTATATTAAAACTTCATCCTAAATTCATTGCAAACTTCAACTATATTAAAACTTCATCCTAAATTCAATGTTAACTTCAACTACATTAAAACTCTTCACTGATTTAATGTTAACTTCAACTACATTAAAATTCTTCACAGATTCAACTGATATCTTGCAAATTTGTAAATGTGGCAAATGTTTCAAGTATTGATGTCAAATGTAACAAGTAAGAAACAAACATTATTCTCTATTCATATTTTATCTTCTTTGTTTTAACTTCCATTATGATTTATTTCTACTAAGTCAACGGCAACAGTTGACCATGACTTGATGATTTGTAACTTCATAGTAAGATGATCAAATCATCACAGAGATAAAGTCAGTCAACTAAAAAGACAAGTATGATAAGACATACCTCAACTATTTGCTCAACTTTATGTGAGGCATAAACTGTAAGGCAACATTTTACAAAGCATATTTTTAAATAAGTTCAATCTCATTCGTTTTAATATACTGATACGGCAAAGCTCTGGAAACAGGGGAACAACCAGGTCCTTTAATTTTTATAGCTGTCCTAATTTTTTATGAATATGACTGAAGTTAAAATAAATAAATAATTTCTATCTTCTCAGTGACACTGTGTATCTCTGCATTGGGGGAGAAGGATTATGTCTATACAAGTTTCAAGCAGATACTCTTGTAACCAAAGGACAGATTTAGAGGACCTGAAAAATAAATTACACTTTTTATATTAAACAAAACAAACTCTTTGATTAGAAACAATACTGTTGTTTAATGGATGGAGTTTTAAATTAATCAGCAGTACAAAGTACCCAAACATGAAGAACACAACAGCTTGGTGACAGTAACACTAAGATGCATCAACAGATTGAGCTTCAATGCCATCATTTCTTATTAGTGAATGAATGGATTACCTAATCAGTAGTGAGAATTTTAGGAATCGCAGGACTATTGATATTTATTGATCACAGAATCCATTTTGACTACAACTTAAAATAGCAGGTGCAGAAAAAGTAATCTTGAAAAATGTACACATAGTCAGCTGTTATCTATCACAAAGTGAATATCCAAATAAATAGATCAACAATGTTGGGTTTTTAAAAGGTTAAAAAGTACCAGCAAAAAAAATAATTAAATTAATTATAAAGAGTAAAATGATTTAGAAAAAAGTCACATGATCATTTAATGCTATAAAATATAGCACATAAACACTCACAAATTAAGTAATAAACTTAAAAAGATGGATGAAACAGGATACCAAGAAAACATGCGAATTTAGGAAAAGATTAGTTTAACTGAATCTTATTTTATTCAATTATTTATAAGATTGAATTATATTATTGCAATGTTGGTAAGGAGAATATAAAAACTAAAACTTGTTAGAAAAGGAAACAATCTTGTGATATGACATTACCTTGGTCTTATATTAGTTCTATAAGATAACAAATTTTACAACTAAACTTATACAAAACATTATTAAGTATGTTCTTTGTCTGAATATAAATACACATACATTGCAAGGATGACATATTTGTGCCATAACAATTGGTTATGCTACATATACACATCTTTTAAATAAACAAACCTATGACCAGTTTTATGCATATATTAAATGAAGGATTTCTTTTGTAATATTACACAGTACTAGGTTAGGATTGATTACAGTTAGTGTGTAATAATTTGTTTGAATGATTGATTATAAGTCTTCAGTATGATTTATTTATTTTATGATGATGGAAATATTGATACAATTAATTGTGATTATGACTAGATTGTATTTTGCTGCATGCTGTATGACAGCGTTTTCCAAATGCAGAGTCACAACTTGGCAACAGGTAATGGAATTAAGAGGACCAAATCATGAAACAATTCTAACAAATCTGGCCATAGATTAGTTTCTGGCTTTTTTTCCCTACCAAACCCTAAAATAACAGTAACTCATTTTAAATTGAGGTCAATGTTATAGTTTGGTCTATAGAGGCAAATGTTATAGTTTGGAGTCTTATGGAGGCCAATGTTAAAGTTTGGACTATTGAGGCCAATGTTAAAGTTTGGACTATGGAGGCCAATGTTAAAGTTTGGACTATGGAGGCCAATGTTATAGTTTGGAGTCTTATGGAGGCCAATGTTAAAGTTTGGACTATTGAGGCCAATGTTAAAGTTTGGACTATGGAGGCCAATGTTATAGTTTGGACTATTGAGGCCAATGTTAAAGCTTGGACTATGGAGGGCAATGTTAAAGCTTGGACTATGGAGGCCAATGTTAAAGTTTGGACTATTGAGGCCAATGTTAAAGTTTGGACTATGGAGGCCAATGTTATAGTTTGGACTATTGAGGCCAATGTTAAAGCTTGGACTATGGAGGCCAATGTTAAAGTTTGGACTATTGAGGCCAATGTTAAAGTTTGGACTATGGAGGCCAATGTTAAAGTTTGGACTATTGAGGCCAATGTTAAAGTTTGGACTATTGAGGCAAATGTTATAGTTTGAACTATGGAGGGCAATGTTAAAGCTTGGACTATGGAGGCCAATGTTAAAGTTTGGACTATTGAGGCCAATGTTAAAGTTTGGACTATGGAGGCCAATGTTAAAGTTTGGACTATTGAGGCCAATGTTAAAGTTTGAACTATTGAGGCAAATGTTATAGTTTGGACTATTGAAGCCAATGTTAAAGTTTGGACTATTGAGGCCAATGTTAAAGTTTGGACTATTGAGGCAAATGTTAAAGTTTGGACTATGGAGGCCAATGTTAAAGCTTGGACTATGGAGGCCAATGTTAAAGTTTGGACTATTGAGGCCAATGTTAAAGTTTGAACTATTGAAGCCAATGTTATAGTTTGAACTATGGAGGGCAATGTTAAAGCTTGGACTATGGAGGCCAATGTTAAAGCTTGGACTATGGAGGCCAATGTTAAAGTTTGAACTATGGAGGGCAATGTTAAAGCTTGGACTATGGAGGCCAATGTTAAAGCTTGGACTATGGAGGCCAATGTTAAAGTTTGAACTATTGAGGCAAATGTTATAGTTTGGACTATTGAAGCCAATGTTAAAGTTTGGACTATTGAGGCCAATGTTAAAGTTTGGACTATTGAGGCAAATGTTAAAGTTTGGACTATTGAGGCCAATGTTATAGTTTGGACTATTGAGGCCAATGTTAAAGTTTGGACTATTGAGGCCAATGTTATAGCTTGGACTATGGAGGCCAATGTTAAAGCTTGGACTATGGAGGCCAATGTTAAAGTTTGGACTATTGAGGCCAATGTTAAAGTTTGGACTATTGAGGCATGTGTTAAAGTTTGGACTATTGAAGCCAATGTTAAAGTTTGGACTATGGAGGCCAATGTTAAAGTTTGGACTATTGAGGCCAATGTTATAGTTTGGACTATGGAGGCCAATGTTAAAGTTTGAACTATGGAGGGCAATGTTAAAGCTTGGACTATGGAGGCCAATGTTAAAGTTTGGACTATTGAGGCCAATGTTAAAGTTTGGACTATGGAGGCCAATGTTAAAGTTTGGATTATTGAGGCAAATGTTAAAGTTTGGACTATTGAGGCCAATGTTGAAGTTTGGACTATTGAGCCCATCATATCTTTCTGTTGAGGGACAACTTGGATGTAGGTGGTTTGTTCCATTGACATGAAATGTCCAGGTTTGCAGGGGAAGATAGTAAAGGCGATGGGGAGGGGGGGAGGGTGTTAAGTTGTTTTAAGACTGCATAATGTCCATCAAGCTAAGGTGAATGTAAAATCAAAAGGCCCCATAAAATGGAGCAGATTTGTACGGGAGAAATGGGGACAAAGGTTTCTAATTGGCATCCGAGAAAATTTTATCACGTTTTTCTCCAAATATAAAATTGTATCACACTTATCATTAACAACTTATCATTCATTAACTATTTATCAGGTCTGGGTTCTTTATATACTACAAGATGAAATGCATTTTTTTAAACTTTGGACATTGAAATCAGTTTTACATCACCTGTAGGCCATGCGCAATAATAATTTTGGTGGGTCATAAAGCAGAAGAATAAAAGAAATGGGCCATGAAAAAATGTTTGGGAAATACTGCTATATGTGGTCAACATGTTTTTAAAAAAGTTACATTAAAATTAAAAAATGAGTTCCACTAACGCCAGTAACAGATCCTGGAGCTCTGATGAGATTAACAGAAGCGCTGTCTGATTTACTGTAATATTAATAGCTCTTAAAATGTTAATAACTCAAATTGCTACTACATTAAGCTTAAAACTCAATGAGCAGAAATACAAAATTAGTCTTCACAAAATACAGTGGCAGTGTAAAGTAGTGAACAGTCACTAATAAGGAAATGTACTAGATTGATGTACAAAAATAGTAACTAAAATAATTGTTATGATAAGAGCAATCGTAGGAATAACGACAGGCATTCAGTCATTTGCATTTAAAAAATACTTTGCATGGACTATTTTATGTGTCCGACAATTTAAGAAATACTGTTGGTGCAAAACAAATTTTGAATTCTTTGACTGGTTACATTATAATTAATACCAGTTATTATGATCAATCAATGAAACATAGTCTTTTTGTGTACTATGTCACATGGTCTTTTGTGTACTATGTCCCATGGTTTTTTTGTGTACTATGTCACATTGTCTTTTGTGTACTATGTCAAGAGTATCAGTCAGTAAAACATAGTCATGCATGTACAATACCATTGAGTAGAACAACTTGCTTAGTTTATTTATATTCCCCCAAGTCTACTAATGACAGCCCGAGGGTTGGTCCAAATAACCAGCGCCGTGGAGCAGGCCCTTCACCCCCTCAAATTATGAATGGGCCAACAACACTGTGAGGTGGAAAAAAATTAAACTATTAACTTTGAATGCAGCGTGCTCAAGACCAAAAAGTGGCAGTGATCTCAGAAAGTCACAAAGAGCCTCTGCAAATAGAACCAGTGGTTCTGGTGTTGTTTACTAGAATCTAATTAGGTGTACCGTATTTAAATTATCTGACATAATAATTTCATAAGTAACGCATACAACAGAAACTCATCTTGGATGACAAAAAGATGATTATGCATAACAAGGTTATCTCTGATTCTTCTAAGAATTAGTTCATCAAATAAGATAATATTGTGACTGTGCTATGTAGTGGCTAGTAAAATATTTCAAACCAAAGCTCAACTTATGAATAATGATATATATACCCTGGTCTTTGGCCTACATAAGGAACAGTGTTTTTATTTTTTTTAATGAAAGTATTTTTTGGGTCATATTTTTACTGGAGAGACAATGACATTCCAAGCACTGGTGGTAAGAAATAACATGTTAAGTCCACCTATATTGCCAGTGTATGTCCTAATTTGGGTTGACCTCTAGTAAAGTAAATAAGGTGATGTTAAATGTAATTTCAGATGTTGAACAAAAATACTTTAATAATACCAGTACATAGAAACACATAATACTGAAAAGTAAAAAAAAAAAAGTCTTTGGACATCTACAATAAACACATTACAAGCTTACATTATTCTGCCGCTGATCAACAAGTGCATAGATCATGTAAAAGTGCTCTATACAAAACATTAAATCGCAGCTCTCATTTATCTGTATTCACATCTAGAAAAGTAAGTATGAATTATTTGCTGTTAATGAACTAAGAATGGAATGGTCAAATTGAACACAAACAAAAGTCCAAGTCAAAGAAAGCTACCCAAAAAAGGACTGCATTTAAAATAAACTGAAGAAAAGATAGCTTCAGTGTAAAACATTGCAAGCCTAAGATGGCAGCAGAGTTAAAAGTTTACTATAAATTTTATTCCTTCCTTTCCTCTAAGATTTTCAGCACCTCTTCTTTCTCCTTCTGTGCTTTTGCCACAGCCAGCTCAATATCCCCTCTCACCTGGAGAAGACAATTTTCCTATTCAGCAACTCATAAATTAAACAAATCAATAGGAAAGAGTTTGAAAAAGAGAATCACAGCAAATAGCTTTGAAATCATCGGAGAGTGCGAAAAACCATGTTTATCCTACTGAAAAGCAGTCGTGAGCATTAATGAAGTCGAAGTATGATTATCATATTATGCCAGCACGCAAAGTAAATTGCATCATTGAGAAGGAGAGAATTAAAAGCCAGACATGATGAGAATTGCTCTAAAAGTGTCAAGAAGTAGAAGAAAAATGTATCACTAGTAAACTTAGAAATGTTAAAAAATTAAAGTGCATCATATTTTCTCATTAAAAAAAAACACTACTGGTAGATGGGAAATTTCTGTCCTAGATGTTAATGGTTCTAATTCCATTAGAATGAATTTTATTCATTGATAAATTTATTCATACTTTTTAATATTTTAAAAATTTATTTATTGTTATAGAATTCATTTTTAAAATCCACAAAGTTTTTTTTTCAATACAAGATTTCTATATGGGTGAATGGGGAATCAAAAGTTCCATAATTGATTAACAAACTTGTGATTTTTCCACAGCAAACTCTGCAAAATCCAATCATTTATTTAGAAAAATGAACTACTATTAGGTAAGAGGGTACCTTAGAAACAAACTGAGGATCATTGATCTGCCCAAGGTTTGCCATCACATTGTAGTAGGCACCCCAAACTCCAGTCTCCAAAATTCTTGCTCCTGTCTGTAAAAGCAATGTAAGCAACAGAATAAATGGTTTGATTTAAAAACACTAATTATATACAAAAACGAATTCATTTATTTATTTTTGATAAAAATAATATTTATATCTGAAAATGAATTTTAACAATGTTATGAAAACATATTTCCATTTATTTGGATCTATTAAAGAATCTTATCTTAAATTTAAAATTATAGTTATCCATTATTTATAATTTGGGGAGAAGTAGATCTTGTGTAAATATAAGAATATGTCAGTAATTACACTGAATAAAAAGATAGAATTAAGTGAAAAAATAAGATTAAATAGAATTTGCAAATACTCTAAAATTTCTGTAGCCTGGTTATGCGTTCAGCAGAAAGGAATTCATATTCCATTTAATACTTGTTTGTATAATTTACCTGAAGATCAGATTTACAATTGAGGTTTCCAATCTTAGCCAGTTCATTAAGATAAGGCCACATATCGTTAGCTATTTGGGCAACACACATGGGCACTTGAACGGCAGTTAACATCCCTTGCTTCATGGCCTCATCTCTCCTATTGATGACATGACAAAATTATCTTATTTCATGGCCTCATCTCTCCTATTGATGACATGACAAAATCATCTTATTTCATGGCCTCATCTCTCCTATTGATGACATGACAAAATCATCTTATTTCATGGCCTCATCTCTCCTATTGATGACATGACAAAATCATCTTATTTCATGGCCTCATCTCTCCTATTGATGACATGACAAAATCATCTTATTTCATGGCCTCATCTCTCCTATTGATGACATGACAAAATCATCTTATTTCATGGCCTCATCTCTCCTATTGATGACATGACAAAATCATCTTATTTCATTTAATAAAGTAGCTCTAAACTACTAGCTGGACCTAAATAAGTACACATCAATAAAAACTAGACAAGTTGTCTTTATCTGGACCTAATGAAATACGAATCACTGTTTAGATGAGGAATGATGGTTTGTTTAGAGGAGGAATGATGGTTTGTTTAGATGAGGAATTATGGTTTGTTTAGATGAGGAATCCTTGTTGCATCTAGGGACAACAAGTTTTAGTTGTTTTTCAAATGCTGATTACGCTTGTTCTAGTATCGCCTAGTATAGCATATGTGTAGAGCTATTTTTAGTCACCACCAAATTCTCTTCCCTTAGTATGACCTTGATATTGACGACGACATCGCAAAAATGTACTGTGTCATTTCTTCCTTGCCCGCCCCTTTCTTGGCTAAGACAAGGTTGTTTATCTTCAAATGTGTTCTATTTATTCTAAAGAATGCTATTAGGTGATGCAATTTCTATAATTTCTGTACTAGAGCGTTCTGATTTTATTCCTGTATAGATAGGCTGCCTGCTTTCTTAGCAGATAGTGAGAGAGAGAGAGAGAGAGAGAGAGAGATTCTGCTATCTGAGATGCTATATAATTGTATGTGTAAATTAATATTTGTATTTGGAGGGGTGTACCTTTTTCCCTTGCTGTAAGTTGATGTAGTTTTTTGCCTTTGTCCTCGAATTTGCATTTTTATAGAAATGTAATTGTATAATGAAATTAAATACTGTGGATATCACTAGCTTTGAAATTGTTTTCTTTGCATACTGTTTTTCTCAGTCCCTTTTTACGTACTGTTTATTATATGAGTCAAATATTAACACAGATTAAATCTTCAAAGCATTATCATTTCAATATTATGATACTTACTCCTTTTTTTCTGCATCAGTTTTCTTTGGCAGTTTCATAGCAAGCTGAAAGATCAAATTATTAACAACAAATTTTATCATAATGTCAGTATTTTTTTGTATTAAATATCATTCTTTGTTCTATTTGATGAAATTCTCTAAAAATAACGAATGACCAATTTTCTTAAAAGAACTTGAAATAAATCTGTTCCCGTCCAAACTTACCATGTACTCACTAAAAGCGGCAGCATCTGCGTCAATGAAAGGGACGAGGTCTTTCATCCCCTTATATAAAGGTGGGATTAATTTTCTCATCTTCTCATCAAGGTGGGCAAACTTTTTATTGCCGTATGTCAAGAATCCAACCATGGAACCAAGCGCAGCTCCCTACATTGACAACATAAATTAAATGCATACAAATGTTGTTTTATTATGTTGCTAGATTAGATTTTCATAAAATTAATCAATGCTGAAATTACTATGTCGATAAATAAACTATCAGTGTCTGAAATTCTTTAGCATTGTTACCAGATAAACAAAAGATAGAAGTTTAATCACTGGCCTACCAAAGATGATGACAGAGCTGCCACTGAGCCCCCACCAGGTGTGGGAGACCTTGAGCCCACAGTAAGGATAAAATCTTTAACATCCATGCTGGCCAGTGGTCCATCTCTCTCTGACTGGGTCATAAACCTGCATGATACGTCATTTATATTTTACCAAATAATCTTAGAAAAAAAAAAATTCTGTATTTTGTCAGGCTAGTTAAATATATTCAGGTATCTAATATTAAACTTACTCAATAATCCTCTCTTTTGGATTAAATCCGCCCAATGAATTCAGACCAAGTCTGTTAATGACCTGTGGATCATCAAGATTTTTCAAATAAAAAATTCTGTTTTATTATCTAAGGCACATTTACATGTTATTGGGATGAATTCTTGTGATAAAAAAATCCCATTAATATATGTACCTTAAACTAATAGAAAGCTTACCAATCTCAACTTCTGATCCTCTTCTAAAATAAACAAATGCTCTTTTTCCATATAATACTCAGCTGAATCCATCAAAGCCTTTTGAGGCACAAGGCCAACAATTTGAGATCCAACAATGGCAATATTTAATTCCTTAAATTGAAAGCAAAATCAGTAGATGATTAGTTTGAATACATTTAAAGATACATTACAAACACAATGCTTATCAGCAAATCCTTAATGAAAACCTTCCTACATAGTAATATTTTCTTTCAGATGCAGTCTATCACCATAGAAGACACAGATAAAAAGGAAAAATTAGTCAATGTTCAGGTTCATCGTAAAATGAGACTTTTCTAAATCACTGTCCAACTTCTCTATGTCCATGCAACTTTCTTAAAAAATTGTGTGCATTATTTGGGGTTGTGAAAGAAAGTTCTTGTAGCTAAAACTGAACAAGAACTGTCTCAGGTCAACTATTGGTTAACAGGCTTTGTGATATTTTCCATTAAAAAAAACAACAACACTTCTTTAAAAAAATTTTAATAAAATAATTGAAAGTTGTAAATCTAAAATCTTGAAACTTTATATAATGAAACTATAATTAGATTATTACGTATTAATTTCACTTCTTGTTTGAGTCAAATCATAGGGAATTTAACAAAAAATTATAACATTCCTTATTTTTTTTTTGTACCAAGAGAAAAATATGAAAACAAATTAAAAATAAGAAATAAGCATATAGGCTACACATTAAAGGTCATTAATTTTATAAATAAAAATATATTTCATTAACCCATAAATTTAAATTAATAACCAAAATATAACTTAATTTTTAAAAAAATTGGATTATAAACAAATAATGAATGGGAACAAAATTTTATTTTAACCTGTGATATCTTTGAAAATACAGCTGAAAAGGAGAAATGAAATCCATAATTGAGGCAGATTAATGTTTTGTCAGCAATATAACTTTTTATTAAATTTGTCGCTACGAAAGATGCTATCAAATAATCTGCACAAAATTTCAGCAGCAAATGAATTGTTATAGCTAGCATTCTATTATGTGGTACTTTTATAGTTAAAATCCTAGTCATGCAAATTAAAACTAAAAGACAATTTTAAAATCAGTTACCTGGGCATCCTTAAAACACTCTTCATACACCTGATGTATGCTTGTTACTTCAAAGTCTGTAATGTTCACTGATACTTGCGCCATATTGGCCTCCTCTAAGTACCAGCCAATGGCTTGGACGCATTTCAACCTACCAGGCTAAAATTTTAGTAATACAAATTTATCATTTATATAGACAATATCCTTTATGTTTGAATGAACATAATATTTATTTTTACAATAAGCCGTACACATTTTTGGGACCTTGATGACACCTTTTTTTATTAAAATGATAACATTATTATTTCACTGCATTGCATATTTTCTGAAATTAAATTTTTTTTAAAGGTTATTTCAAACGATCATGGCAGGAATCTGGTTCAAACAGAGATTTATTGACAACGCAATGCATGAAGCTAGAAGGCAACCACTGTCCTACCTGATTTTCCCCTCTACCATTTTCTCTTATGTTTAAGGCAATCCTGTGCGCTTGCTCCTTAGTGGCAAGTAGATTGATATTGTAAGCAATAAGAAATTTTCTTGCTCCTACAGCAGTTGCACCCCACTCAGGAACAAACTCTTGCAGTCCAAAATCAGGTTTCCACAGTGGATCTTTCAACTAAAGCAATATTTAAAAATATTTAAAAAATCAACTATATCACTGTTGAAAATCATCGTAAGGCCATTCATTAAGGGTTTTATTTTTGACACTGCAAGATTAAAATCTATAGTTTAACATTCACACTCACAAGAACAAAATCTATAATTTAACATTCACACTCGCAAGAACAAAATCTATAGTTTAACATTCACACTCCCAAGAACAAAATCTATAGTTTAACATTCACACTCGCAAGAACTAAATCTATAGTTTAACATTCAGACTATGTATAGTGCACATTTACTTATACATCTTTAAAACAAAAGATTCCTCTTTTGTTTTTAAAGTGGGTAACATCTACTTGAGATGACTGAGGCACAACAGTTAAAACCAACTTTGTCATTACATCTATTTGAGATCATTGACTAACAACAATTAAAAACAACCTTGCGATAACATCTATTTGAGATGTGTGATGTGCAACAATTAAAATCAACCGCATCAACATCTATTTGAGATGATTGATGTACAACAACTAAAACCAACCTTTTCAGATAATGCTTCATATTCTCCTGCCCTTATCTGTGGCAGTGTCTTCCTGTACTCAACATCCGAAGCAGCACCATAGAGATACACTGCAGATAATACAAGAGAACTTTTGAAATAAATATTCATAAACAAATATACATAAAGGAGGGATATGGATAAAAATATTTCCATTTATTTATTCATACCATATTAAAAGCATTTTGAAATAAGAATGTTCTCCTAATGTCAGACAATTTGTTACCTGGAACACCAAGCTCAGTTGCAAGCCTATTTCCAAATTCTTTAGCACATTTGATGCAATCTTCCATGGTGACATCTTGAACAGGCACAAATGGACAAACATCCAAGGCACCCATTCTGGGATGCTCCCCTAAATAAAATATTTTGAATTTTCATGTTAAAAATTGAACAATGAAATGAGGGTGACATTTTTTAACAAACTGTCAGGTAAATATCTCATTATTTGAAATCTCATAAGGTTGGGATTTATTAAGAATAATGATATTTTCAAGAGAATCCAATTTTTTTTTTAAAAGCTGCAAATCTAAATGGAACAAACATCTGAAAAATCAGACAATTGTCGAGAAGAAGGATATTAAGTGGCCCATAATCATTAGCTTATCAGATTACCTTGATGAGATCTCATATCAATGAGTTGATGAGCGGCTCTAGCAGCATTCATGGCACCTTCAATGACAGCATCAGGGCTTCCAACAAAGGTGTAAACTGTCCTGTTGGTGGATTGGCCTGGGTCAACATCAAGTAGGCTGCATCCGGCTGTTTGGGCAATAGCAGATGCAATTGCTTCAATGACCTGTTATCAGTTCAGTTAGTAATATTAATTTTGATTATCATATTTTGTATAAAGTAGACGTGTATAATATTAATCAAATAATATCTAAATTAAAATTTTCAATATGTAACAATGAACATGTTGATATTAAAAATTATTTTATAGCCATGTGATAGCAAGCTGACAGTATGAAGTGTTGTCAAAATTGAGCTATCGCCTCAATTAACCAAATACAGTTTACAATTTTACAGTTATAAACAATAACAATGCAGGTACAGGATAACTAAAAGCTGAAACAGTCTACAATTTTAGTTACAAACAATAACAATGCAAGTAAAAGATAACTAAAAGCTGAAACAGTCTACAATTTTACAGTTACAAACAATAACAATGCAAGTACAAGATAACTAAAAGCTGAAACAGTCTACAATTTTACAGTTACAAACAATAATAATGCAAGTACAGGATAACTAAAAGCTGATATCTACAATTTTAGTTACAAACAATAATAATGCAAGTACAGGATAACTAAAAGCTGATATCTACAATTTTACAGTTAATAACAATGCAAGTACAGGATAACTAAAAGCTGATATCTACAATTTTACAGTTACAAACAATAACAATGCAAGTACAGGATAACTAAAAGCTGCAAAGCAGTTCAGTGGCCAAAGATATTAATTATTTCATAGGATCAGTTTTATTAGACATATAATGAACAAACATGCATTCAAGTCACTTAACTCTCCCCCCGTATGTCATCGCACAATTTTTTCAAGTACCGGAACTTAATTAATATTTTAATGTCCCACTCCTTTTACATCATGCACATTTATTGCACCTTATTTAAATTGAGACTTTTTCCCTAAAACAAAAGAAAATGCTACGCTCCAAATACACTAGTGGTATTTTTAAGAATCTCATTTAGCACAGTTAACTGGAAAATTTAGATACAAGAGATACAGCACAGAGTCTGTGATCTCAAGTTTCTCTGCTACCTTTACTTTTGGACCTATGGTTCAGGAAGTTAATCTTAGATAGGTAATAACTGCAGAATAAGGGCTTAACTCTTGAAAAATTAGTGACTATGGTAGAATTGCAAAGACTTTATCAGTAATAGATGTGCAGACAAATATTTACCATGCAAACAAACAAGCATCTGTGAAATCAAGCCAAATTAGATATTGGTAGTGGCAGGGAATTTAAAATTTCAAGAAGAGAAGGGTGCTCATAGGAGCATTCAGAGACACTGGACTCACTCTGTAAGAAAACAATTGGATCGTATCATTTAGAACTCCAGATCAGAGCAAGAGACATCAAGGAAGAAGCAGATATGTTTGAGGGTGATCAAGGCAATAGGTAACCATTGACCACTGATGAAAAGTTACCACTGCCAATTTAAAAAGTGACCATTATGAATTAGCAGAAGGCGAGCTTTTAATGGAAATACCAAGGCGGCTGAAAGTAGAAGATATTGTTCTCCAAGAAGACCAACTCTAGCCAATTTTTGACACCTTGAAATTAAAAGCTGAATGTGACTCTTCAATCTCTCCTAATCTTCGCACAAAGCATACAATTATTTTTTCTGTGGCTTCATGTGAGATGAGCTTGTCATAACTGAAGCTAACACAGAACTTACTGAGATCAGCTTTGGTCAGTCAATGCTTCCTGACCTTGCGACTTATTAAATTGAAATTTTTAAGGTGAGGGATGTTAACTAACTTTTTCTGTCAAGATAAAAAGTAACATGACTTCTTTGCAGCACTTACTTAGTCACACACTGCTATCTTAAACTGTTTTGTTTGACTTATGTCTTATTCAACTTTAATAATGTAAAGAGAAATTATCATCATCATCATCAGTGGCCCATGTAGGGGCCTGGCCTACACCACATCCTTCCATTTGCATCGATCCATGGCTTTCCGCCTCAATGCCCAGACCCCCAACAGATGTAAGTCCTTCTTTACATCGTCAATCCATCTAGTCTTGGTCAACCAGTGAGCCGTCTGCCCCTAGGTTTCTGCCGGTAGATCACAATTCGACATCCGCTCCCTGTTTTCTGTCCAGCGCAGAATGAACCTTTTAAATTGTTGTGACCATGGCCATAGGTGAGTTTTCAAACAATTTATGTATCTCTTGGTTTGTACAGATTCTCCATCTATCATTGTCTATCACCGGACCAAATATTTTTCAGAATTTACAGATATTACTATATTATTTATAATAAAGAAAGGGATTGTCCATGGTCTGGCACAGGAAGACTGGGAGGAGGTCCATTGAGAAAGTTTTCAGGGGCCGAGGGGTGATATCGTGAGTTTACCGCACTTGGTTACCCCATTGATACCCCTGTCCCTGTCTACATTAATTAAATAATTAGTGGCTGTATCAAGATTAATTTTTGTTATTTTATTACACTGCATTTCACACAACAGTAACAGGGTCAACAGTACACTACAACTTAAGAAGTAAGCATATTTGCATATCAATATCATATAATATAACTCAAACCTCCTTGTTTCTACCCTCTGAGAAGTTTGGAACACACTCAATAATTCGTGGCATAGTGACAAGATTTCACGACTCGGGTAGATCTGACAACGATTGAAGAAATCTCAAACTCAAAGTCCTCTCTTACTTATACTTATACTTCAAGATTTTACTTTCTTCTACTTCTAGTGTTAACTTTGATTCGAGTAACGATAATGAATTGATCAGAATTGTAACAAGGAAAGGTGGGGAAAGCGAAACTGCGTTTCATATATATTTAAATAATGTATATGGAACGTAATTGATAAGGTAAAAAATCAGGAGATAAGGTCGTGTTGCAGCTGGCTTAAAGTAGGACAAGGCTTCGTATGTATGACCAATGCATTGACAACGTCCAGTGAATTGACACAAGAATTGTGCTAAACGTCATCACGCTTCGTGCTCATTCCCTAGCGATATCGATGACGTGATCTTTTCTGCTGTCTACGTTTACCCACTTCGTCCATTTTGGTTGTTTTCATAGGTCGAAGTTGAAGATAGCATCCCTGAGCTAAGGCAAAGGGACAGGGATACTGTTTGCCGACATTAAATTTAAATTGCATAGTTTTAGCCATTTTAAGGTATAACATGTCTAATAATACTGTCATATTTGAACAATTAAGTCTTAAATATTCACATCTTTTTAAGAAAAATCGACATTTAAGGCCTAATCATTTGTAAACTTAACATAACGGTGCTAGGGAACTATTGACTATTATTGACTATTGGCATTGGAAAAAGTACTTCAGTAGTCTTAGTTAGTAGTATAAGTTAAGAAGTACTAGTAGTCGTAGACAGCACAAGGTAGTAAGTACTAATAATTACTAGTCTACTCAGTGGTGTAGGAAGAGGGTTTTGGCTGTGGAGGGGACAGTCAGCTCAGGGTGGTGGAACTTTTTTTTATGTGGAGGAGCAGCATTTTGGTTAATTCAACTAACTTCATTTCATTTGGGAATGTTGACATTTTTTTATAAAAAGGGGATGGGGGAAACACTGACTCAGTACCAACTGAGTCTACTACTACTACACCTACTTAAAATAAGAATTTTGAAAATAAGGGGTAGAGTAATTAAGTCGAATAGTCCCTGAAATGTTACCCGGGATACAATAACACCGTGAAAGGGACCTGGGCCTTAGGGCAAAAGTAATGCATGGAAACTGCATTAGAAAGAGCATGATGCATGGTTTCCTACCAGTTGCAGTTGAAAATAATGCAGAAACAGGTCGGGACATGATTACAGTTGCCGTATGGATATGAGGCGAGGGAGTGTGGTGACCCGTGCTGATAATTCTAAATATGGAGTCTTTGAGGGAACTGTTCCTAGGAAACCTCTTTCTTTCCCAGCTGCAGTGTGAGTTAGTCAAATTGCAGAAAATCACGTAAACCCTATTAGAAGGCCTCTGTTAATCACCTACGCGTCCCCCGGGGTGGGAAGAAGAGACGTAAAATATATCCACCCCCGCCCCTAGAAACTCCGGCCCGGTTGCTGTGTAAGCAGCACCCCTGGCCAGCCAGCGAGGTGTTCCTTCTCTGATGCCACCTCACTCCCATAGTCAATCGAGTGGAAGGGTTGATGTGGCTGTTTTGGGGGTTCCGTCCCCGGCGTGCTGCTTTGCGGCCCGACTGGAATAAAGACCACCGGGGGAGTGGTTGAAGGTGGTTGGGTTAACGGGGTAGGGGGCTGGGGAATACTTCTGAGCTTTGGCTCGATAGTTTGCTGATTTTCTTAAGTAAGTTAGTTTGTCGAACAGTCAAACTGATCTTGATCCATTGATGTTTAAAACATTTTTTTAATATTAAAAATCTCATTAAAACCAATCAAAATAGATGACAAACTATTGGAAAAAATAAATACTTGTTCTTTCAAATATAATTGGGGTGTTGTGATGTAGTTCCATCAGGTTAATAGCGAGATTTTTTATTTAAAGCGCTTAGCCTAACTATCTGCATTCGACAATTGACTATGGCTTTTAATTTATGAGTTAACAGTACCATATAAATTATAAAGTGGTATGCTAGAATTTGTGATGGTGTAGGCCAGTGGTCGGCAAATCACGGCTCTTTAGCGACCTGAGTGCGGCTCGGCCAGCTGGCCTCAATTCCAATCACATAGTATATGTTATATGTGATAGTTAGTCTGTTGCAATCGATCAAGACCATTTTAATCATTAGATTCGTGTTGGTTTTGATTCCGTCTGTGAGTGCGCAGATGGCTAACAAGACAGAATCTGGCTCAAAATTTTCTTAGGCAGTAGGTGTAAGGAAGGATGGGACCACTCCATATGCAGAGTTAACCCAAGCTTTTCTCAGCTTCTAGCTTGTCTTTTTAGCTGCTGTTCTCTTGGATTCATGTACGGGGCATTTGTGTCAAGAGGAACGTCACTATTCTTGATTCTTTCCCAAATCTTTCCATGTGTATATTATATATACCGGTAATCACTACCTGATACAACACTACAGTCTTACAGTACATTAGCCCAATTTTAAATCCTTAAGTCTTAAAACTGTCTACAATAAAATTAATAGTAGTAACAATAAAACTACAACTTTTTAAAAAATAATAATTTTGCCCCAAAATTACCCAGGTTACAATTTACAAATTAATATTATTAATGAATATTTTTTATATTTTCAACTGAAATGTCTCTATTTCTTTCTTTACTGATACATTCTGGTAAATCAGATTATATTATAAAATTTTAAGAGTCCCTCTGAATGTACCAGTGTACTGTATTATTTCATTATTCAGTACACTGGTACACTCAGAGCGACGAAGTAAGCATTTACTCAGTTCCTTGCCCTTTATCATGTTTGGAGATTGGAGATAGTGAGTTTAAATAGAAAAAAAAACAGGAGAGTTCTCTGTACTGCACTATTGAGTTTCCTGTCAACTACATATCTATACAACAAGCTGAGAGTGTTTGTCTCTGTCTGTAACCAGTTTGGCTGTCGAAGGCTTTTTGGATGAAACGTCCACTTTCTTGTATTGCCTTTCTTCAGGTTTTCCTCTACCCTTTGTATGTTTTTTTTTATTGCTTCACCTGAATGTAGTCCTCACCCTATTTCTCTCTTATAACTGAAGTGAAGCAAGCTAAAAGACTTGGGAAAATTATCATTTTTTAATGCTTAAACTTAAACCTACACTAAAACTAGATTTTCTGTAATCACAACTTTTATACTTATTTGTCTTTTTGTTGTACTGATGAAGGCATGTGCCGAAACGTATACTTTTGTATTCTGTGAAATTATTATTAAAGCTTACCTTATATTGTTAAATTGACACAAATTGTTGGTGTCTATTTAATCTAAAAAAAATATTACAGTAGGGGAAAAAAGCATCATGAAAATAGTATAATTTATTAAAATAATTTCAAGAAAAGAGAGCTGACAGTTACATTAATTTTGAGCTATGCTGCATCATTAAAATAGTTTTTTTTTTTTTTTTTTAAACACTCACATTACAAATTAATGTGTGAAAAATCATTAAAAAAATGTGTTATTGGTGTCTTTTTAAAGATTTTCTTTCTACTCGCAAATTGATGGGGTTTGTTAGTTTTTTGCATAATTTTGTTTTGTCATATGTAACCCTCTCGTTCAATAGATTCAGGTTTCCTCATGCTGACCTGTAAGGCTGCATCTGAGTTGATGACACAGAAATACAACTTCAGTATGCTAGGTCGAGGGAGGAGGGGGTGGGTTGGGGTGGTGAGTGATGGGGACCTAATAAAAGGTGATTAAAAAAAACAACAACCCCACCCCTTAACTTTCCATAACCATCAGTCCTAAATGTAGGGTTTTGGGGTGTGTTGGGGGCAGGACATATCAGCAATTAGACCCTGATCAATAGACAGCAAGCAGTCGTTAAATTTGTTAAATTTTAGTTTTACGCCTGGGTAAAGAGCTAAGTCACTATACCCGTGGAATTAGTAATCTTTTGTTGTTTGAAAAAAAAAAATCTTCTTTTGTGGATTATTTACAGTTAAAAATTTTTGTGCTAAAAAGTAGAAAGTCTTTTTAAAATTTTTTTTTTTAATTGAGAAAGTGTAAGACATGCACTGCCATTTACTTAGTGCAAAATTAACTGTTGATTTTTCTGTAGATATCTCAAATATTTAAAAAAACAGGAATAAGCCCCAGTTATTTTATACATATTGTTTTTTTAGTAAAGAAGAATTAATCATATTAGATTATATGCATGAACTTTGTTGTGACATTTTCAATACTTAACTTTACCTTAATGTTGCTTTACATTTTTAAAAATCAGGTAATGGCTCCATCTGTCAGACGCAGACATACACCAGTTAGCAACGCTAAGCAGCTCATTACAGCTATATTATCCATAAGACAACAGAAACAGATACCTAATTTTGATCGTATCTCACGTTACCTTCAGCGCTCTACAGATGTGACTCCCAGGAGGTGCAAAGAGCACCTAAATAATGCAGTTAGTGATGGACTTATTGTAGAATACACAGCAGTGGGTGTTAAAGGTCAACGTACTGGCTTAGAGCAGGAAGGTTATCGAGTACCTCAGCCAGAAGAAATAGAATATGTGAGCCCCTTAACTTAAAGTTTGTTGTTTTTTTATACAGTGACAAAATTTTAACTTATATAACTTCTTAGAATGTATCATAGTTACTTAGTTGCAAGTTTTAACATTATGACTCTATTCTGGTTTATAAATTGTAATCCAGGTCAATGATGGACATGACTGGTATTGCTTTGAATGTCATGGCCCTGGAGAAGTCTTTGAATGTAGTGATTGCTTTCGTGTGTACCACCAAGGATGCACCAGAGAAGACACTTCAGGAGAAACGTTCACCTGCAGTGTTTGCAAAGTAAGCATTTGATAGTTCAGAATTATGTTTTTATTTTATTTTGAAGCCACCTTCTTGTTTTATCAGACCTGTTTACCCTTACGATTTTGAAATTTCTTTTACGATTTTATGTCAAGACCTGACAGAACGGTTTTAAGTGACCAGATTAAAGTATGGACATTCCACTAAATTTTTTCCAGATTTTAAACAAAAATTAATCAAAAAGTACATTTTCGGTTGTTAGATTTAACTTGCATTCTGCATCCAGCAGTGAATGGATCGAGAAATACGATAAGTTGGAGACCATCAATATTTATATTACAAATGCCCTTACAGGAGTGGTGTTTTTTTATATTGTTTTAGGAGATTGTGTGAAAGAGTGAAAGAGTTAAGTCTGTAAACTTACACCACCACATTTTTGTAATGATAGTGGTGTTTGTCATATTGTTGCTTTGTATTTTCAAAATAAACTTGCTAGACACAGCAACAGTAATTCAGGTGTAGTCACCCTAGTGACAATTTTAGTAAATCTG